TTCAAAGGTAACTACGATACTTTTTTTTTGGTACATACTTTATTTTTCTATCCCATTCAACTTTTCGGTGCAACCTTTTAATAGAAAAAATACGAGGTCATGTTTTCTTTTAAATATTCAATGTCGTATTTTGTATCAACGTCTCTAATTAAACCCTTAACTTCAAGTAGGTGATTAGGGATAAACGCTTTTAAATTTTCTGTAATTAATTGTTTGTAACTAATTTATTAGCATCTAATACAGACATTAGTATAACTTTGATGGTGTTTCTACCGATACTTTTAATTTCTAAAATATTATTGATTTTTAATTTTTTATGTTTATGTGACCTACTGTCATAGGGTGCAATCGGTCTATATTCTGTTCATTATTCCTTTCAATATAAACACAACAATTGTGGAAATTGTACTTATCTGAATTAACATTAAACAGTTTTATCACTTTAGTTTTTTGGAGGTTGGCATTCATCGTATCCTAATCCAGGTCCATTTCTTTATCTACATCGATAATTTCGCCACTCTCTGACAAAATATTGAAAAAGGTGATTCCTTCCTGTTCACGTACAACAATCATACTATACTAGAGCATAATGAATGGAATCACGCGCTTAAAACTGCAGAAGTTATCGGAATCACGTGCCAACTAGTCATAAATGCATGTTTATTGCCAAAATGAATTACGCCAGTGGTGTATAAAAACTATTGGCAAAGTAAATGCGGTAATAGTAAATAATATTATATGAAAGTATGTTGGTTATCTATTTTTGTTATAATAATTCATCTATGTTTATAATTGTATTTTGTTTATTATAAAAATATGTAAATTAAGCTTGGTATCACTTTGTAACCCATTGATTCTGCAGAACTATCACTGGAATCGTCTTTATCGTCGGAACTTAAAGTTATGACTAAAGGTTCAACTACCATTTCGATCCAAGCGCCACATATTATTTTCTTCCTTAATTACATGGGAAATAGCATTCTGCCAATCTTCAGGTTTTACGTTCTATACCGGTTTTTAATAAACTTTGAACATCGGCTATTTTAAAAAATGTATTTTCTCCAGCTACAAACTCTTTCACTTGCGCCCAAATTAGTTCAATAGGATTGAATTCGCAGTGGTAAGGAAAAAGTCTTAATACCGTAATACCACGATCACGAGCCATTGTGTCGACAACATATTGAATATATTTATGGCGGTGTTCCTTTATTAGGTCCATTAATTCCACTTTAAGCATCTTCTCAGTAAATGTTATTGCTTTATCCCGCAGCGAGGTTTGCATATATGCTTTCCTACTGGACATTATCGGAATGCGTTCAACTCGTCGACTGTAATAAGAAGCGTTATCTAGTACAATAACCGAATTTCGTTCTACACGCTGTAATACTTCAGTAAACCATTTTTCAAAGCATTCCGGATTCATGTCCTCGTGGTAGTCTCCTGTTTTTTCGATATAAACACAAGAGCGCTATTTTCCAAAATCGACCGTCACTTCCGATATGGGTAACAAATAGGCGCTTACATTTATCTGATGGTGCTTTCAAACCTGTAGATAATCCCTCTATAAAAGCTTGGCGATGACTAGTTACAGAAGTATCTTTCCATATTTTAGATACCGTATGTCCAGCATTCACCCACGTTTCATCGAGATAGTATATCTTTTTTTTAGCGGCTCTAAACTCTTTAATTTTCGTAAATAACGTCGTCACCAAGACACTGTATCTGATCTCTCAATTAAAATTGATTTCCTACACCGTTTAACAAAACGAAATTTTAGGCCCCATAAAATTTTTCGTAAAGTTTCACGGCTCATTAATGGAATTTCTTCGTTTTCTCCTAATTTCGTAAGAACAACTTTAAGTGTTGGGGCTTTGTTTTCGAAAAAAAAAAGAATGTACAGTTCTTCGAATGATTTGTTTTTGGTTATCGTCCAATTTCAACAATTTTTGAGCACATGTATGCGTTTTAGGGGCTTCTAAGGAGCCTTTTTTTCTTTTCGCGTACAATACGTTCAATTGTTGAAACAGATACTCCAGTTAAAAAAGAACTGCGGTTTACAGCTTCATTTTGGCGTTCCACAAGGAACAGTCCTGGGGCCAATTATCTGTATTATCTATATAAATAGCTTACTAAATCTTGACGTCAAAGGTGAGGTTCTTAGTTTTGCTGATGATACCACGATTTTTTAATCAGGCAGATTCTTGGGTCGAATTAAAGCGAACTGCAGAAACAGATTTCAAACAAATCAAGAAATGGTTACAATACAATAAACTTACACTAAATGTTAAAAAAACCTGTTATCTACCATTTACTTCATACGTAAATAACTTACCTCGGTTCGACAATCTCCTTATTGATAACAATTCAGAGATCCCGGAAGAGAAAGCAGTTAAATATTTAGGAATAACCATTGATAGACATTTACGATGGGATTCACAAATCGATAATTTGATTAATAAAATACGAGGCTTAACAGGTCGATTTCGATATTTGACAGATTTTTTAGATATTAATCATTTACGTATTCTTTACTTTGCCTTAGTTCAATCACAGTTGTCTTATGGTGTGCTGGGATGGGGAGGAGTTCATGATTGCCATCTTGATAAAGTGAACATATTACAAAAATGGATACTAAGAATAATATATAGAAAAAACGTTAGGTTTTCTAGTAACGCATTATATCAAATTAGTAATGTTATTTACGTAAGGCAACTGTATTGTGAAAAAATTATTATAAACATTCATAAAAAAAAAGTAATAATAGAACCTCTGTCACACTCGTATTCTACCAGAAACAAAAACCTTAATGTAAAGGTACCTAAATGTGAAAAAACAATTAAACAACGAAGCATTAATTACCTTGCACCTAAAATTTATAACAGCATTCCAGCAGAACATAAAAATATCCAAAATACAATTACATTTAAAAATTCACTTAAACTTTGGAATAAAGATACACCCAGAGTAACATTTCATAATATAATAAATAAAATATCGTAGGGTACACCTTGAAGACACCAAACTAAATTAAATAATATAAATTATTAATAAACAAAATTAACTAATATAAATTCTTGTATCAAATTATGTTATACCTTTTATGTGTACCTATACATCATAGATAATATTAATTTTATTTGTATTATATTTTAACTGTCATACCGACTATTGTGACGCTTTACCTTATTGTGATACTTCACTGTTTTTATTAAATTTATAAAGACACCAATATTTTACTATTTAATAAACTTTTAAGGAGGTCCTTTCGCCACCAATGTTAAATAAAAAATATTAGATTATGACTAAAATTAATTTTTTTCTAATAGTAGATGTCCTTATTTATCTAATAGTGAACTTTTAACTATACCTTACCGTGCAAATTTTTGAGAACATTTTTTTTAAAAATGTGTGTTTGTACAGTGTCTTACAAGAAAGTAAGACTTCAACAACAATTTTCGAATTATAATTAATTTTACTATAATTTATTGATTAGATGGAATAGAAAAAAACTAAAAATAAGGTTTTTGAAATATTTAGGTTTTGTTTTTTACAATAAAATATATAGGTTACCGTGGAATTTATTTGAGAAATTAATATTATTAAAAAACTAGGTTACTTCAAATTTTTTTTTAATATTAATTTCTCAATAAATTGCAAGGTAACCTATATATTTTATTGTAAAAAACAAAACCTAAATATTTCAAAAACCCTATTTTTAGTTTTTTTTCTACTCCATCTAATCAATAAATAATAATATAATTCGAGAATTGTTGTTGAGGTCTTATTTTCTCGTAAGACACTGTATAAATACTCACATTTTTAAAAAAAAAATTCTCAAAAATGTGCACGGTAAGGTATAGTTAAAAGTTCAACATTAGATAAATAAGGACTTCAACTATTAGAAAAAAAAATAAATTTTAGTCATAATCTAATATTTTTTATTTAACTTTGGTGGCGAAAGGGGTGGCCAAAGGACCTCCTTGTACTTACCTAATATACTACACAATAAATATAACTCCTTGAATATGCACTACCACTACCAAATTGTAAGGCACAAACATGAACACCTACTCATATATCAGAAAAGAGCACTTATACAAAAAAGTGTTTATAAAATATAAAATAATTATCGTAAATAGTTAAAGCGATACAAATCTAACTTCGTCGAAAGTTAGTTTTCAACTGTCTTTGTGCCTGTGCTGACAATATTCAATCTGTAACCCGTCTGTCGTTTATTTACTTGAAACAAATTTTAAAACCATTAAACACAGATAACGTCATTAGGGAATAAATATATTCATTTCTTGAAAACTATCAAAAACGTATATTTAACGCATCATCTTTGTTTAAATAAAGATGTTGACAAACAAATGTAATAAAGTTTACTAACAAATACCTAATAAATAATAAATAATTATTTGGTATTTGATACGCCGCCTATGCTGACTTTGTCGGAATTTTCATTTATAGACAACAGTGTTGATCATGCATTTGACTCACCTTCTCCAATATTTTGTCCGAGTAATAGCACTATTATTTAAATCACCCATAGGCGTCCTGCGTTGTGCCTCCCCATTTGGGAGGAATATTGTTTTTAAAATAGCACAAAATATAAAAAGTAATTAAAGATAGCGAAAGTAATGTGTCCCAAAAGGTCACCTGATAATAAAACCGGTATAATTTCTTGCACAACTATTCTCTACGGGTGTTTATCCGATACTAAATACAAAGAGAAATGCACTTTTTTTATAAATTAGTCAAATTCATCCATTTAAATAATCTTGTATTATTTTTAAAACAGTTGTATTCGCCTAATCTCTAAATACATTTTTAACATTGTGTAGAAATTCTTTAGTGAGCCGTTGAAAAAATATACTGTACAATTTGAATGGATTATCCGTATCGCACTGAAACGATTTAACCATCTATGAAATTTTGCTCAAACTTAATCTTTGTGTAATATGGCCACCGCCATTGCACAAACTACTATTACTTTACAGGTACATATTTGATCTAATCAAAAAAGGAACCAAAAAAGACATCGAAGAAGACGACCTTTACGAAGTAACAAAACAATGCAAATCAAAATTATGTGGAGACAAGCTAGAACAAGAATACTTGAAGAAACATGGAAAACCGCCATCATTATTTAAAATGCTCTTTAACATATACGGGCTGAAATGTATATTATGGGGCATAACTCAGTTAATGGCTGAATTATTAAAAAGGTTGTTAATTTATAAGTCTATTCATATATAAATGTCTAATTATTCATATTAATGCTAATTTATTCTTATAAATGCTTATTAAAGAATATAAATGCTTATTTATTCTTATATTTTCTTAATTATTCATTCTCTCTTCAAGATTCTCATCCACGAAGCTCTCTTGGCAAAAGCTAAACTAAATGCATACCAATTCTTTTGCAGTGTTTTGGAACCAAATGCCTTAAGCAACCTAGTATATTACTTCACTCCAGGACAAACCAAAATGACCAAAGTTGATGCTTACTCCAACGCAAGTTTAATATTATTTTCCACATTTTTTCAAAAAATGTACTTTTACAACTACGATTTATACCTCTGCATGATTGCAATTGAAGTAAGAACGTCTGTGTGTTCCTGTTTATTCAGGAAGGTCCTTAAATTGAGTCCTGCGGCAGTATCACAGAGTAATTTAGGAAATATCGTCACTCTGATTACTAAGGATGTTCAACAGATTAGAAGAAGCATGTTTGTCTATAACGATTTATGGGTTTTTTCGTTGGTAGTATGCACAACCTGTTACTTGCTCTATTCAAGAATTGGAGCTGTTTCTTTGATAGCTATAGGAGTCTTTATTTGTGCTATACCATTAGAAGGTAAACTACTTAAAATTCTTTATAATTTTAGTCTCAGACCTAAAGTTGAGTGACTTTGTATTTTTAAAACATAACGAGACATTACACTGATAGTTTCAGTTCACCTTACATTCTAATATTTGTACACTTTTCTTATGAAGACAACTTCACTTCAGCGGACAGCCTTAATTAAATCTAATCTAAGAAAGAAATTAAAAATACTATTTCTTATTAATTATTTTTATCATTTTTATGTAACCTTACATATTTCTAGTTTTCATTGGAAGATTAATAAATAAACTACGGATGCAGACCAGTGTAAAAACTGATCAGAGGCTTCAAGTTACACAAGAAGTACTAACAGCCATTAAGATAATAAAAATGTACACATGGGAGGAGTTTTTCTATAGAAGAATTGATTGGGCACGAAGGTAATTAAATCTAATGATTTTCCAAAATATTTTATTTCTATTTCTGTACACTTGTGAAATTAAAGAAAAACTGTCACTAACATCATATTCAAACCTGTCCTGTTTCTTTATTTTTGAGGGCGTTTTATTCGCAGAGCTAGTTCACTCTTTTACATAATACGCAACATTTTTTTTGTATATTTTGCCTCCTATTGTTCTTATTACTACTTTCTTCTCCCTCCGTTTTAAGTTGCTTTAATCTTATTGGTCTTAGCATATCAACAATTATATTTTTTGATCCTATTAGAGAGTTAATCAGTTGGTTAATAGTTAGTTAATCAGAGGGTTGAGTGCCTGCCTGGCACGTCTCCAGGTGGTGGATAGGAAAACGTCCAGAATATCTGGCTAGATATAAGTAGAGTGAGAGAATATAAAAACCACAAAAATCCTTTACGAAAACTGCTGCCGCGAATCAACTCACCTCCGCCGTAGGTTATGGCGGGATACTCTATCCTATCCTAACTTCACAGGTCCTCGCTTTGCAGCGGTGCAGGGATTTACAGTTTAAAGATATGACCCTAAGGCCAAAGACACAGGTATAGGAGCCATTTAAAACTAATAAGAAGGACGAAAGCCAGGCTTAACCTAAGAGATCAGTAAAACATGCCTATGGATGCGTAGCAGCTGTGCCTGCAACAATAAAGACCTAAAAATGGAGTATAATTCACTTCTACTGCTAAACAGGCAAATGTGCTACCAGCAGTAGTCGATTAAGGGCAATCTCAAGCAGAAGTGCAAGAGATAGCGAAACAGGCCATGGACGTTGACCAGGCAGAAATGCCAAACAACATTTAAAAGGGTCACTTCCGCAGAGGAGATTGACCTATTGACAGACACAGAAGTTAGATTCTTTGGCATATCAGGTCGAACGGGAGTAAAGCTAGACAACCTTGTAAAATCTGGCCAGGATTTCATTGCTACCAAATTGAGCATAATCATGGAAAACTTAAGTTAAGTTACCCCAAACTTCGACTAAAGAGGAAAGCCAGGTCGATAAAAAGACCAAAAAAAGACCAAGATCAGAAGGCCAACATTGAAGGGGGTTACCTTTAGAAATGCCCTTACCAATACAAAGATTGCAGTGGTAAGAACCGGCTTTCCAGAAGCACTCAAGGAAACGGAGCAGCAAAAAACTGCCGAATAATCCATTATAAGTGCCTACCAACGTGCGTTTTGCTAAATGCACACACAGTTCAGGATACATAGTAGTACGTTGTGCAGACGGTCTTAGGGCACAATGGTTGAAGGATGTGGTGCCCACACTTAATCTCTGGAAGAGTGCAACCCTCGAGGTTGGGCAGGGCATCGAGATCTCAAAACCAAGGTTATTTACAACGTACATAGCAGAAAAGGGGGAAATAGGCTCGATGCTCAAAGGGTACTTAACAGACTGAGAGTCAGCAACAATACCCTTAAAATCAACCATACAGGCAAAAGTTACACAAAGAGGAATATTATCTCAGATTATGTGGTCAGTTCTAGTGAACGGCATACTTAAAACATTGTCCAAAGAAGACTACCAGTGCCACGGATACGCAAACGACCTTGCAATTATCATCAGTGGGCAATTTGCAGGTACAGATTCGAGCGATCTCAAACAGCTCTAAGTATAGTGAACATTTGTTACAAAAAGAAGTAATTGTCCATTACCGCACAAAAACAACAGTATTAGTCACAAAGAAACGGGTACTTACAAGATTAAAGGCACTAGTACTTATTGACATGGTTATTCCATTTGTCACAAAAGCCAAATACCTCGGAGTCGTATTTGACCAAAGGCTGACGTGGAATCAGCACCTCAAAAAACTCGCATACAAAGCTGCAATAGCTCTCGTAAGCTGTAGAAGAATATGTGGGAAAAACTGGGGCCTAAACACCAAAATCACTATATGGTTATAAACAAAGGCGATATGACAGCGCATAGGCCAACTAACCGGCCTTCAGCGGTTTGCCTCTCTGAGTGCCATTGGGTCCATTCTTACTACGCCAACTGCAATAATGGAGGTACTATTAAACCTCACGCCACTGCACTTTTTCACACAAGCAGAAACCAGGTAGTCAATTCATAGGTTAATGCAGGAAATACAATAAGCCACCAACATAGCGGTGACCATACGAGAATATACCAGCAAGTTAAAAGGATTACATTCTAGGCATGCCTATTGATATAGCAATAGCCACATATAAATTTAAAAGAAACTTTCAAATGCAAATATAAGCCTCAGAATTCTGGAAACAGACTGAACTCGTCTGGTATAGAGAGGGTTCAAAAATCAAGGAAGGAGACGGTACTGGAGTCTATGGATCCAAGTCTAAAACAAAGATTTCGCTGATAATATGCGACAATGTTCGTTGCTGAACTAATAACCATACAACACTGTGCAAGTGAAATAATAAAGTATCGGACAAAAATATTTTCATCTACTCTGATATCCAAGCAGCTCTAAAGGCTATTCTTTCACCAGAAATCAAATCATGACTAGTGGAAGGCTGCCTAGAAGACCTGAGAGAGCTAAGCGGTCAAAAAAGGTAACCCCAGCCTGGGTGCTAGCCTACGAGGGATATCAGGGCAACGTAAAATCAGACGAATTAGCCAGAAAAGACTTAGATAAAGTCTGGACAGGCCCCGAACCCTTCTGTGGATTTACTAAGGGATTGTGCTATCCAAGACTGAGACAGACCAAACAGTTCACCAGGAACTATAACAGTGAGTCTTCTTACCGGAGCGTGTCGCTAGAGAAAGCACATGAGTGCCATCAATTCAGCAAAAGCAAACTTGTGCAGGTTCTGTGCCAGTTTGAGGGCCTGGATAGATTGAGGTTTCTAATATAAGGCGAAGAAAAGTCAAACCTTGGAACTCTATAAGAGAGCCACTGTCAAAGCTAGCCTAATAAAAAAAAACCAAACTAGATAACATATTCTAAAAAAAAATATGTACAAAAAATTGTGTCCAAAAAATTTTGTCCAAAAAATTTTGTCCAAAAAAATTGTCCAAAAAAAATTTTGGCAAAAAGTTAATACATAACTATATGTTTTTTAAAGTAGGCCATAACCGAGAAAGACAAAGATACGAGTCATATCCGTGATGATTACGCACGCCTCTGAATTGAATCCTAACTTATCTTAAAACAAAATTGTAGGCTCCGATTTAAATATACTCTATAGTTTTATAATCTTGTAATTTTGCAATTGTTTTTCAGAAAAGAAGTAGCAAAAATGCTTTTAGTGTTCTATCTTCGAATGATTCTCTTGCTACTGGGCACTCTAGTATCTAAAATTGGTCTTTATCTACTCATCATGGCTTACATATGGATGGAGGAACCTAATGATGCTTCAATTATTTTTTTTATCACAGCTCACTTCGATACTTTAAGAATATTTTTTGCTCATATCCTACCAGATTCGTTTGGAAAAATCGCGGAACTTTCCACAGCGATGTCAAGGATAAGCAAAGTATTAGTTGCAGAAGAAGTAAAGGATAATACGAAAGATGAACATCAAAAAACAATTATTAACCCTTTAATTGAATTGAGAAATGTAACAGTTTGTATTGAAGATACTGATATTTTAAAAGAAGCCAATATTAGTGTACAATCATCTGGACTTACTCTTATAACTGGTAGAGTAGGCACTGGTAAAAGTTGCTTTTTGAAAACTATTTTGCAAGAGTATCCTCTCGTGACCGGAAAAGTTGTAGTTAAAGGAACAGTTTCTTATGCCTCTCAAAATCCATGGTTGTTTCCTGGAACAATTAAACAAAATATTTTATTTGGAGAAAAATTTGATGAAAAAAGGTAATAATACTAAATGAACTTCTTAAGAAACAATTCTATTTTTATTTATTTAATTTTCATAATTTTATTGTTCAGTCTTTTTTCATCGAAATTGTAAAAATATATTGCTTGGATTTTTTGTTGTAGATATCAAGAAGTACTAAGAGTGTGCGCTCTTCAATACGACTTAAATCTTTTCGAAAAAGGAGACGAAACCATTTTATCTGACAATGGACAAAATTTGAGCAAAGGTCAGCAAGCCCGAGTGAATCTAGCCAGAGCAGTTTATAAAGAAAGCGACATCTACCTGCTTGACGATTGTCTTTCTGCTTTAGATACACATGTGCATAATTTTATTTTCAATCAGTGCATAAAAACTTATTTGAAAAATAAAATTTGCATCTTGGTCACCCAGGATCAAAATAAGTTTAAAAATGAAGATAACGTTTTTATAATGAACAATGGCAAAATTGAAAATTATTTTAGCCCTAGAGAAAGATCCTTACAATATATGCAGATGTTGAAAGAATCTATACTAGGTATAAAAGAAAAATCAACATCACAAGAAAATTTTAAATCACTAGAAACTGATAATTTGTTGGAAACAGAACAGATCGTATATAAAAATATATACGAAGAAAAATTAAAAAAAGGAGCAGTGGATAAAGCTGTTTATAAGAAATACGTTCTTTTCGGAGGGGGATTCCTGGTTTTATTGATGAATCTGATCCTTATAGGTTTGAATCAAACTGCTGAAAGTTATTCTGAAAAATTAATATCTGTTTGGTAAGTGTTTCATGAAAATTGATATTGTTTTATCAATAATTATAGACTAAAGAGATATAGTACTTTTCATTTATTCAATCAAATTTTTCTTAACTTTCCAAATATTATTTTTTGATCTGCAATCCCTTTTTTGCTAGTTTTAGTTCCTATAATAAATGGACTACATCATTATTTCTCTGTGTTAGCAATTTTCATCACAATTTTTAAAAATCACGAATAATTAAATAAAATAAATGGTTTTTAGGACTGACGAAAAACAACATGTTCTGGGACTAAAATCTAATATCACAGAATCAAGGGAAAACATTTTATTTGTACATCCAACTCTAAAAACTGCAGAATCTCAGGCTGCCTCTACATTTAAAATGTACTCAATCATGTTGGCAGTATCTGTAATTATTGAACTTATAAGGACTTATACGTTTCTAGATTTTTGTAGGAGAGCTTCAATAAAAATCCATAAAGCTATGGTTCGAAACGTGCTTGAAGCTGTTATGACATTTTTTGATTCGCATTTCATTGGAAATATTTTAAATAGATTTTCACAAGATATTATTAATGTCGATGAGAATTTGCCATTTCAACTAAGTGGGTGTCTAGGAGTAAGTCTATATTTTTTTAAATCTATCGTTAAATTTTTTATTTAATTTACTGTTATTTTTATTTTTTTAATTCTCTAGCTTATAATACTTCCTTATATATTTTTGTGTCAGAGTTATTTTAAGCGATCCTAATGTCATTGAATATATATCATATTACGTTGAAATATTTTTAATATTTAATTGAAAATCTTGTAAGTCCTCTCCTAGAATATCCAAGTCTTCTTCGTTTAGATGTACATACAGAATTAATTATTTCTGTTTAAATTTCACAGTATACATTTCTCAATTTAAACATCGCGTCCTTTCTTAAGAAAACACCTGCATTTAAAGCCTATGCCTTCAAAAAATATACATCCTCCATCACTCCAGTACCAACTGTTTTTTCTCTTCAACACAATGCTTTAACACAATAGAATCAAAACATATTTCCTGTAAAGCATACGAACTCCACCCTAGAAACATTCTAGTACATATCGCCATCTCATAAGTAACAATAATCTTTCTTTATCTTACCCAATAGAGCTAAACATATTTTACGACTAAAAAGCTTTTGCTTAATAATGTTATCTTCGCTAATGGACGGATTCATTATAGATTAAGGTGAGGTAACTGTGACCAAATTATCTTAACACACTTTGTTTCTTCGAGTCGCTATCTAACTGTTTAACCATCAAAATGCCTGCAACAGACGAATATCGTTCCTCTGAGTTACTTTTTAATGTCGCAGTCACAAAAGTCTGATGGATGAATGTAGCCTAGAGAAAAAAACCACTATATCAACTAAAAGAAAGGCAACCATATAGAGACTACCCACAAGGAGGAATGTTATCTCCAATGTTGTGGTCAGTTTTAGTAGATGATCTACAAAAAACACTTTTAAAAGTGTCTAGTATATCCGAATGACCTAACAATTATCTGAAGAGGGCGATTTGCAGACAGATACAGTCTCAAAGGACTATTAAACAGCTAGAAATATAGTGAAAAAGGTGCAAATAGAAAGAATAGTCCAATAATACACAACAAACAACAATTGCATCATTCACAAAAAAAAGAGTGGTTACAGGACTAAGACCACTAGTACTAAACAATGTGGTTAATAATTAATCGGAATAATTCCAGCTTTGCAAAATCCATTTTTTATGTTTTGCGATGCATTCGGTTGAATTTCAGCGATTAATCAACATAAAAGCCTTGGGAATACACTCTTTGGAAGTGAAGGTGCATTCATGCCAGGGCCTCGTTTCCACTGTAAAAGTATTTTGCGCCAAGCCATTTTTAATGGCCTGAAAAAAGCTATGTCCAAAGGCTGTGTTAAGTGGGTCACGTTGCCTGGCAAAAATACAAAACGAATATCACGCTTCTGGCAAAGTGATACTATTTCAGTGGACAAGTGGGATGAAAGGTTATCCCCGATAAGGACTTTTTGGCCTTCTAATTTCGCGAGATATGGGCAAGCAACTGTTTTGATCCAGTCTGTAAAGGTCCTGTTGTCAAACCAACCACTAGCTGTTGAGTTAAATCTTGTGTGTTTCGGTGCTCCTTCTATCCATGTGGAATAAACATGTTTTGCCTTATACATCACATAACATGGTAACATTTCTCCAGTTCCGGTAGCTGCAAACATAATCGACACAGCAATTTTTGTTTGATTCATTACCCTTTCTGGATATTTACAACACCTATTTGTTATTATCTTCTGCCTACCAGGGTCGCTGAGGTTAGTTTCATCGTAATTTATTATATGGGACGCCGGAATATCACGCAGGGTTTCTTCTAAATTATTAAAATATTCGTTTATTATATCAGGGGCTCTTGCACGTTTTATATTTTGACAAATACGTACAGCAATTTTATCTTTATGTCTCGCCATAAAAAAAGTTGCAAACTCCTTACCGGGCAAATTCTCTTTAAATTTGGGCACTATTTTTCCCTGTTGATCCAAATAATGTTTAACTATTAGTCTTAAGCCATACAGATCTAACGGATACCCCCATTCGGCACATAACTGAATTTTTTCGACGATTAACAATTCTTCTTTTTCACTCAATGTGGTCTGTCCACCTTGTTTCTTAACGTTTTGCTTCTTAATTCGTTTTTGTAATACTGTATAGGGTATTTTAAAACGCTCAGCAGCTTCCCTTATTGTCATTCCGCGGGCGCCAGCCTCCTTAGCCCTTGCGATAACTTCCGGATTATGCTTGCGGTATCTTTTTCTGTGTGGGTCGGGTTTATAAACACGAGGCATGTCAAATAGCTGTGATCGTATTCACCCCGCGATCTCGAGCAACGGGTGTTTCTTGTTTTGGATCACCTACAAAATAAAAACCTGTTGCTATTTATGGATTTTTCGTACGGATTTCACATAAGTAATAAAAATGGTTACTAAAAATAATAACACTCACCTTTTTTAAGTTCTGTGTTTAACTAGACCTTTCAACTTTCTGGGACAATATTTTCGCGGCTTAATTTCGCATTTGAGGTTATGATAGACAGCATGCGATGTTGCCAAGCTTTCGTACGTTTTATGTCACAGAAACTACATCTAACAATAACTAATTGAAATTTGTGCATTGGAGAGACCTTCTATTTGAATTATTGCATTATTGAATTATTGCAAATTTTTTAAAATTAAGAGTAACTTTCAATCCTATTCGCCCTGCTGATCCTAATCACCCCATTTTACGGTAGTCAAAACAAAGTGACCTTTGCCTGGGTATTAGGCCACGAACGACATCAGGGCAATACCAACGAATTAGAGCCATGACATGCTTCCTGGACTTCTTTGGAGTTGCTAAGGCATTGTTCATTATACAAAAAGAATTTCAGGAATTGTATTAAATTGCTTTATTTGGATATGTCGCGGAAGTTTTCCTCTTTTGAACGAGATTGTTTTCACATGGTTTTTACCGTTTCACCAACGAATGCCCAGGTTGGGGATTTACTGTTAGTAAACTTCTGGTTTTTGCTTAACAATAGACAAAACATTTAGCCTAGTTAAAACCTTACAACGAAGTCTTTGTTAATTTCTAAATAACGATTACTGTTTATATTTTATTAATCTGTGCCGCTATCAAGCTTGCAGCTTTAATATTTTTTTTTATAAGTATATTCACAAAATATATGCGTCTTACTTCACAATGAAAATAAATTTGCATTAATTCCAATTGCCCATTCAGCAAAACTTAAAGGAGAATATAAAAATGTAAAATTAGTTTTAGAAAAAATTAATAACTCGGAGTATCAAAGGCCGATCTATGTGGATTTGAAAATGGTTAATTTTTTACTTGGTCAAAAAAGTGGATACAAGAAATACCCTTGATTTATTTGTATGTGGGACAGTAGAGCAAAGCTACTTCATTGGGAACAAGATGTTTGGCCTGTAAGAAGTTCTTTAACTGTCGGTAAAGCAAATGTAATAAGAGATCCGTTGGTAAGCAGAGACAAAATCATACTTCCACCATTACACATTAAATTAGGAATGATAAAGCAATTTGTAAAAGCATTGGACAAGGAAGGAGAGTATTTTAATTACATTTATAGAAAACTTCCGAAGCTTAGTATGGAAAAGTTGAAAGGTGGAATATTTGATGGTCCTCAAATACGGCAATTTATAAAAGATACAGATTTTATTATTGTTATGACTGTTCCAGAAAGTAAGGCTTGGAAAAGTTTTGAGTTGGTAGTTAACAATTTCCTAGGTAACAATAAAACACCAAATTATGAAGAAATTTTACAAAATATGCTGATAAACTTTCAGACTCTAGGAGCAAATATGAGTATAAAATTACACTATCTCCGCCAAAACCAATAATAACACGGTGGGGCACATGGCTTGGTGTAGCTTTATTTTATGCGGAACATTA